AGTTAACATTAAATACTACCATTTGTATGTATAACTAACAGGCCATTGTTGTTGTTTTTTAGGAAAGTTTTGATAAGAAGAAATATATTGTGACAACACTAGCTTTTTATCCTTCCTTCTACAATAACAGGGCAGGACATTTTCTGCACGTAAGAAATGCCATTTGGACCTTTTGTGCCTTCCTCACAATAACAGGGCATTTTCTGCATGTAAGAAATGGTAGAGATTTAGGTTGTGTATTATTATCAATAAAGGTAATATATATAATTAAAAATAAAAAGTTAACATTAAATACTACCATTTGTATATATAACTAACAGACCATTGTTGTTGTTGTTGTTTAGGAAAATTTTGATAAGAAGAAACATATTGTGACAACACTACGTTTTTGTCCTTCCCTCTACAATAACAGGGCAGGGCATTTTCTGCACGTAAGAAATGGTAGAGATTTAGATTGTGTATTATTATCAATAAAGGTAATATATATAATTAAAAATAAAAAGTTATCATTAAATACTACTATTTGTATGTATAACTAACAGGCCATTGTTGTTGTTGTTTAGGAAAGTTTTGATAATAAGAAACATATTGTGACAACACTACGTTTTTGTCTTTCCTTCTACAATAACAGGGCAGGGCATTTTCTGCACGTAAGAAATGCCATCTGGACCTTTTGTTCCTTCCTCACAATAAAAAAGCATTTTCTGCAAGTAAAAAATTGTAGAGATTTAGGTTGTGTATTATTATCAACAAAGGTAATATATATAATTAAAAATAAAAAGTTAACATTAAATACTCCCATTTGTATGTAAAACTAAAAGGCCATTGATGTTGTTGTTTAGGAAAGTTTTGATAAGAAGAAACATATTGTCACAACACTACCTTTTTGTCCTTCCTTCTACAATAACAGGGCAGGACATTTTCTGCACGTAACAAATGGTAGAGATTTAGGTTGTGTATTATTATCAATAAAGGTAATATGTATAATTAAAAATAACAAGTTAACATAACATACTACCATTTGTATGTATAACTAACAGACCATTGTTGTTGTTGTTGTTGTTGTTTAGGAAAGTTTTGATAAGAAGAAATATATTGTGACAGCAATACCTTTTTGTCCTTCCTTCTACAATAACAGGGCAGGGCATTTTCTGCACGTAAGAAATGTCATCTGGACCTTTTGGGCCTTCTTCACAAGAACATGACATTTTCTTCACGTAAGAAATGGTAGAGATTTAGGTTGTGTATTATTATCAATAAAAGTAATATATATAATTAAAAATAAAACGTTAACATTAAATTCTACCATTTGTATGTATAACTAACATGCCATTGTTGTTGTTGTTGTTGTTGTTTAGGAAAGTTTTGATAAGAAGAAACATATTTTGACAACAATACCTTTTTCTCCTTCGTTCTACAATAACAGGGAAGGGCATTTTCTGCATGTAAGAAATGCCATCTGGACCTTTTGTGCCTTCCTCACAATAACATGGCATTTTCTGCACGTCAGAAATGGTAGAGATTTAGGTTGTGTATTATTATCAATAAAGGTAATATATATAATTAAAAATAAAAAGTTAACATTCAATACTACCATTTGTATGTATAATTAACAGGCCATTGTTGTTGTTTAGGAAAATTTTGATAAGAAGAAACATATTGTGACAACACTACCTTTTTGTCCTTCCTTCTAGAATAACAGGGCAGGACATTTTCTGCACGTAAGAAATGCCATCTGGACCTTTTGGGCCTTCCTCACAATAACAAGACATTTTCTGCACGTAAGAAATGGTGGAGATATAGGTTGTGTATTATTATCAATAAAGGTAACATATATAATTGAAAATAAAAAGTTAACATTAAATACTACCATTTGTATGTATAACTAACAGGTCATTGTTGTTGTTGTTGTTGTTGTTGTTGTTTAGGAAATTTTTGATAAGAAGAAACATATTGTGACAACACTACCATTTTGTCCTTCCTTCTACAATAACAGGGTAGGGCATTTTCTGCACGTAAGAAATGCCATGTGGACTTTTTGTGCCTTCTTCACAATAACAGACCATTTTCTACACTTAAGAAATAGTAGAGATTTAGGTTGTGTATTATTATCAATAAAGGTAATATATATAATTAAATATAAAAAGTTAACATTAAATACTACTATTTGTATGCATAACTAACATGCCATTGTTGTTGTTGTTATTGTTGTTTAGGAAAGTTTTTATAAGAAGAAACATATTGTGACAACACTACCTTTTTGTCCTTCCTTCTACAATAACAGGGCAAGACATTTTCTACACGTAAGAAATGCCATCTGGACTTTTTGTGCCTTCCTCACAATAATAGGGCATTTTCTGCACGTAAGAAATGGTAGAGATTTAGGTTGTGTATTGTTATCAATAAAGGTAATATATATAATTAAAAATAAAAAGTTAACATTATATACTACCATTTGTATGTATAACTAACATGCCATTGTTGTTGTTGTTGTTGTTTAGGAAACTTTTGATAAGAAGAAACATATTGTAACAACACTACCTTTTTGTCCTTCCTTCTACAACAACAGGGCAGGGCATCTTCTGTATGTAAGAAATGTCATCTAGACCTTTTGTGCCTTCCTCACAATAACAAGGCATTTTCTGCACGTAAGAAATGGTAGGGATTTAGATTGTGTATTATTATCAATAAAGGTAATATATATAATTAAAAAAAAAAAGTTAACATTAAATACTACCATTTGTATGTATAACTAAGAGACCATTGTTGTTGTTGTTTAGGAATGTTTTGATAAGAGGAAACATATTGTGACAACACTACCTTTTTGTCCTTCCTTCTACAATAACAGGGCAGGGCATTTTCTGCATGTAAGAAATGCCATCTGGACTTTTTGTGCCTTCCTCACAATAACAGGACATTTTCTGCACGTAAGAAATGGTAGAGATTTAGGTTGTGTATTGTTATCAATAAAGGTAATATATATAATTAAAAAAAAAAAAGTTAACATTAAATACTACCATTTGTATGTATAACTAAGAGACCATTGTTGTTGTTGTTTAGGAATGTTTTGATAAGAGGAAACATATTGTGACAACATTACCTTTTTGTCCTTCCTTCTACAATAACAGGGCAGGGCATTTTCTGCATGTAAGAAATGCCATCTGGACTTTTTGTGCCTTCCTCACAATAACAGGGCATTTTCTGCACGTAAGAAATGGTAGAGACTTAGGTTGTGTATTATTATGAATAAAGGTAATATATATTATTAAAAAATAAGTTAACGTTAAATACTACCATTTGTATGTATAACTAACAGGCCGTTGTTGTTGTTGTTTAGGAAAGTTTTGATAAGAAGAAACATATTGTGACAACAGTACCTTTTTGTCCTTCCTTCTACAATAACAAGGCAAGGCATTTTCTGCACGTAAGAAATGTCATCTGGACCTTTTGTGCCTTCGTCACAATAACAGGGCATTTTCTACACGTAAGAAATGGTAGAGATTTAGGTTGTGTATTATTATCAATAAAGGTAATATATATAATTAAAAATAAAAAGTTAACATTAAATACTACCATTTGTATGTATAACTAACAGACCATTTTTTACATTTGTGTGTATAACTAACAGACATTTTCTGCACGCAAGAAATGTCATTTGGTAGAGATTTTGTCCATCCTTAATTGTATTATTAATACCTTGATCGGATTAAAGTCATTTCACAAATTCAAAATCACTCTTCATCACTTATTCAACTCCCTTCACCGCACTAACACAACAAGTCTTAATTTGTCTCTCTCTAGTCTCACCCACGATGAATAAATTTCAGAGAAGTAAGAAAGTGTTGATTTTTTCATTGGTGGTGTGGGTTATACTTCTAAGTCTAGTTGCTTCCGAGTTTACATGCGACGAAGAAGACGAAAATCGCGACAAAGGGAAAGCCCTAAGGTACAAAATAGCAGCTTTGGTGTCAATACTAATTGTAACACCCCAGCAACCCGCATGTGGATATTGTCCGCTTTGGCCGCAGCCCTCACGGTTTTGCTTCTGGCAATGACACTCATGCCACCCCAAAACGCGTCCACATAAGGAAGGTATCCACACCCATATATATGGCATGCTTCGTTCTCCTTCCTAACCGATGTGGGACTTCACAATCCACCCCCCTCAAGGGAGTCCAGCGCCCTCGCTGGCACACCGGCCCGGGTCCCGGCCGGTGGCAATGACACTCATGCCACCCCAAAACGCGTCCACATAAGGAAGGTATCCACACCCATATATATGGCATGCTTCGTTCTCCTTCCTAACCGATGTGGGACTTCACAATCCACCCCCCTCAAGGGAGTCCAGCGCCCTCGCTGGCACACCGGCCCGGGTCCCGGCTCTGATACCAAATGTAACACCCCAGCAACCCGCATGTGGATATTGTCCGCTTTGG